GGGAGGGCTTCTAATGTCCTGGCCCCACTGGTGGACCTCCTGATGGCACCTGGTATTTCTGGCCACTGTGTGACACAGAGTGTTGGACTGGATGGGCCTTTGGCCTGATCCAGCATTGGCGTCTCTTATGTTCTCAAAGGCCTTGTTGTTAGTCACGGGGAAAATGGGGTCAGCAAAGGCTTGTAATTAACTTCCCATCTATTCACCTCTAGCGAGCAGACGTTCAATCCTTCCCAGAACTTGCTTACAGCAGATGAGTTGCTTGTGTTTTACTGTGTAAACCGCAGGGATGTTCCTCAAGGTCGATCTAAATTGTCTCACCCCCACCAATTAGTTCTATTTTCTTAGTCCAATGGAGGGGGGAAGTTTTCACAGTCACCAGCCTTTCAGTAATACATTGGAGTAAAAACACAGCTTTCAAAGCACTCTCAGACTTTTTACACAGTTTCCCTTCTGAGACAATCTCCTTGATTTAAATGCTGCCAGCCAGTGTTGTTATATTTTCAGAGACCACCAACAATGTGTAAAGGGCTTTTCTGAACCTCCCAGCCCTGCCCCTGCTGGGGTAAAAAATTGAGCACGTTGAAATCTGGTCTCTATATTCCCTCAATTCTCTTAAGGTATGATTCAGCCTTCAAGTTACTAGGTTTTAGCCTGCTTCCTATCAAAGCATCGCCCCGGAGCAAAAAGTGAAAGTAAAGTGCTTCCGTCTGTTCTCTTTCGTTGGCCGCTTTAAACAAGGGGAAAATCACCCTCCCACGCTGTAAGACTCTTTAGGGGCTTAAAGGCTTTAATTATGATAGTCCCTTCGTTGTTTCCCCTTTACAATCAAGATGTTACTCACAGTTCACCATGCGTCTCTTCAGAGCAGTGATTTCTAACCTTCCTCAGAGCGAAAAGCGGCGGCTTTGCCTGATGACTCAGGCTTCACTTCGGATCCAGCGTGGGGACCCATCCCTGGTGCTCCCTGTGTGTTGCCACTGCGCAGGAGACTGGATCAAGCCCCTAGCAACCCACTACCCCTTTCCCCAGGAGAGTGGGGGGGTCTCCATTTGACCAAAAGACCCTTTAAAACGAACCCTGAAGTGACCAGTGCTCCTTTGAGCATTTGTTGCACCGCGCTGCAGGCTCTTCCTCCCTCTTTTCGTTATTCGAAGGCCCAATCAACTCCCTTGCCAATTTCCTGCTACTGATGGGGGGGGGAGGTATTCATATCTTCCTTTTCTCGCAGAGACTGGTGACTCATGATGAGATGGCTGTGTATTTCTGTGTTGCCTGAGGAATCAATACCGACTTGAATTAGCCTGTACGACCTAAGAAGCCAGTGATACAATAGAAATTCTCAACTATTTTACTTAGACTATCTTTCTCTTTAAGTAGCAGCTAAGTGGATGGCAATTTTTAAAATTTGTTTATGATCAGTCTTTCTCCATGAGACTCAAGGTGGATTACACAGTGTAAGATGTCAGTCGATGCAATCAATAGGATGAGACAGTTTAATGAGCAATGTAATAGGACTAGGATTACAGAACTCTGAAACAAAGCACAAAGACACAAGGAAGACTATGGTATTACATAAGCAGAAAGCAACACAGGGTAATACATTCAGCAAAAAGACAAAATACATACTGTACCCAGTGAGTATAGTCCACAGTCCCATTCCATTTTAAAAAGTTGCAAAATTTAGAAATGCCTCTCTAGAACCGCTGGTCAGATAAAAATGTTTTTTAAATTAAGGATGCTGGCTGATCACACTGGGATATCAGTTATCATCAACTTGTTTATTTCTTCACAAGATTTGGGAAAGGAAATGTTTTTGCCAGTTTTGTAGGTCTCAGAAACACACTGGCAGACAACCTGACAAAGGCCCCGCCGATGACTCCGGGATGCTGGACAGATCTGATCACGCCCCTTTACTCTGCAGGGGATTTGCACCATTGCCTCCGCTTTTGGTACGTATGAAATACTTCAAGAACCTGGCTAGTTGAGTCATTTGCAAAACTATGGCTGGTAACTGACCTAGCTTCCAGCCCTTCCAGAGAGAAGGGAGAGAGAGAAAAACAGGATACTTCAAAAACTCGTGGGGGGGATTCTCCACACTCTTGAAGAAGGCTACTCTGACTGAATCTCTTTTCACACTCTGAGCATTCAAAAGGTTTGTCCTCTGTGTGGGGTTTTTTGATGCTTTTTATTAGTGCCACTGTGACTGGATCTCTTCCCACACCCTGAGCGTTCAAAATGGATCTTCCATGTGTGGGTCATCACATGCTTTTGAAGATACCCACTCAACTTGAATCTCTTTCCGGACTCGGAGCAATCAAAAAGTTTCTCCCTTTGTGGGTTCTTTTATGCTGTTGAAGAGCACCACTCTGAGTGAACCTCTTTCCACACTCTGAGCATTCAAAAGGTTTCTCCCCTGTGTGAGTTCTTTTATGGTCTCGAAGATTGCTACTGCAACTGAATCTCTTTCCACACACTGAGCATTCATAAGGTTTCTCCCCTGTGTGAGTTCTTTTATGCCTTTGAAGACCACAACTCCGACTGAATCTCTTCCCACACTCTATGCATTGAAAAGGTTTGTCCCCTGTGTGGGATCTTTGGTGAAGTCGAAGATAGCAATTTGTACTGAATCTCTTTCCACACTCTGAGCATTCAAAAGGTTTCTCCCTTGTGTGGGTTATTTTATGCCCTTGAAGATTACTATTCCGACTGAATCTCTTTCCACACTCTGAACATTCAAAAGGTTTCTCCCCTGTGTGTGTTCTTCGATGATATTGAAGACTTGCTTTCTGACTGAATCTCTTTCCACACTCTGAACATTCGAATGGTTTCTCCCCTGTGTGGGCTCTTCGATGATATTGAAGACTTGCATTCTGACAGAATCTCTTTCCACACTCTGAACATTGGAATGGTTTCTCCCCTGTGTGAGTTCTTTGATGATATTGGAGACTGCGATTCTGACGGAATCGCTTTCCACACTCTGAGTATTCCAAAGTTTTTTTCCTTGAGTGGGTTCTTTGGTGTACCTGAAGAGTGCCACTCCGACTGAATTTCTTTCCACACTCTGAGCATTCAAAAGGTTTCTCCCTTGTGTGGGTTATTTTATGCCCTTGAAGATTACTATTCCGACTGAATCTCTTTCCACACTCTGAACATTCAAAAGGTTTCTCCCCTGTGTGTGTTCTTCGATGATATTGAAGACTTGCTTCGTACTGAATCTCTTTCCACACTCTGAGCATTCAAATGGTTTCTCCCCTGTGTGGTTTCTTCTATGCACTTGTAGATGGCCACTCTGACTGAATCTCTTTCCACACTCTGGGCATTCAAACAGTTTCTCCCCTGTGTGGTTTCTTTTATGCTGTTCAACACTGCCATTCGAACTGAATTTCTTTTCACAGTCTGAGTATTCAAAAGATTTCTCTCTTTGTTTTCTTTGGTTCACAAGAAGCTGTGATCTATATTTGAAGTACTTTCCACATTGAATAGATTTACTTGTCTTCATTATATTGGGCTTTGGAAAATGTACACTATGCTTCCTTCCATCTCTCTTCTCAGCCAAACGACTGACTTGCTTTCTCTTAGGGCTCCCTCGAGTCCAGATGCTTCCTTTCAAGTCTTCATTATTAACGTTATCTGTCAATTGCAGCTGAAGTTCCTCGCCCTCCTCATTCCTCTGATCGTCCTCTGCTGGAATGGAGAGAGAGGAAACATTAGCACCTGGGAGGGAAGGAATGGTCCAAAGGCTGCAGTAGGAAAGGATTGACGGCCTTTTGGCCTCCTCCTGCTTGCCCCCCTAGCTAACCCCCCACCTTTCCCCAGAATATCCAGGATCTAAGCAGACCACAGCCTTTCAAGAGCTGAGGCTGATCTCTTGCCCAGAAGGAGCTTCCAAGTCTCCAGATTCCAGGCCCCAGAACGCCCCCCTCCTGTACTGCCCAGCGGGTGTCATAATTCTACCAAACTAAGAGCCACTTAGAAGTGAAGCAGAAAAGTCCTGTGAACATGCCATGCCCTTTTCCTTGACATAACTGTGAAGGATACCCAGCTCACTTGGGAAAGAAATCCTCTCTTGAGATCCTCTTAAGGAACTCTCCAGTCTTTCTTCAGATGCAAGGCTGTTGTCTGTCTCCACCATGGTCTCGCTTATCATTCTGGCTTCTTTCGCACAGAGAGAGAGAGAGAGAGAAAGTGGTCATTCTTATATGGGGAGGGACCCGTACCCAAGCAAGAGTAAAAATTATCCTG